ACTGGGAGCTGCCACTGCTGACTTGCTTCTGAAAATGCTTGTTGTCTGGATGGTGTGCTGATGATATTTTGGCTCCGTTACTTTCTGTATCAGCAACCTGGAACAAGTATGTAGACTATGCTTTGGATGTAAAATAACCAAAACTGACAGTAAACTTATTAAACGGATAACATGTCTATACCTGCATGTGCCTGAACATACATTTTGCAATCCAGTAAAAAAAAAATCCTTTCACAGGACACTCTGTCATGCAGTCATTTCACTTTCTGAAGCTGGTACTTGACCCATCCTGCCTCCTGTGCTTTCCTAATTGACAGTGAGGCTGCCATTCATTCCCAGGTACCAATAGCGAAACACAGGAGGTGGCAGGTTCAGGCTCTAGTTACAATGAATTTGGTATTTGCATGATTGAGGACCGAGGTTTCAGGGTTCCTAGGGCTACCAACAGGATTGCACAATGTAGATTTAGGAACCTGAAAGAACATACTGTACAGACATGTCAGCAGTTTAATAGGTTTACTGTTGATATAGGTTTTTGGTAGACGAGTATTTCAAAGTTTCTTCTGCCAGAAAAACAGCATTACCTGTCAGCTAGGAAATTTTTGTCCTACTGTACATTGCCTTTATCCATCACCCATTCCTACCATCTGTAAGACGGAAAAGGGAACAGTAGAGTATATGTATGTCATAATGTGAAAGTGGATTTAGTTCCAATTTAAAAGATACTAAACTTAGAGATAGCCAGGTACATAACAAGGGGAATTAGAATTGGCAGCTTAGGTGTTTCTTTCATATAATGTTTCTTTTAAGAGTTTGTTTAGGTGGGGATACAACTGTAGTTTAAGGGCCTTCTAACTTTTTTAAGTAGTTACTACCGCAGAGTTTCTTTAGAAAGCAGTGGTTCTCATATGGCCTTGGTTTCTCTGTACTACACCAACTAAACCACCAACTAGTATATTCTGTAATAGCATCTCTTTCAGCCAAACCTAATAATGGTATACTAATCCTAATAACAAATATGAACTCATGGACATTTATAGCTGAATGTAACTAGATCAGGAGTAAACAGCAGTGCAGCCCACCTCGGAGGGAAAATACAGCAGGGCATGAAACTAAGGTTTTGGGTCTTGAACTTGTGCATTACGATATCTTTTCTTTAATAACAACATCAGGGTACAAAATCAAGGACAAATCAGAATGTCAAAACTCAGTAGTTTTCTAGGGCTCTGATCCCTAAACATGGCAGCATATGCTGTAAGCACCTATTATTATAATACTTTATATGCTTAAACATTCCACACACTAATATTTTTTTTCTTTTAAAGGCTCCAACAGATATACAAAAGATGTAGAAGTTAAGTCTTTTTTCATTTTTTTTCTCTTTTACCTATGTTAGATTTGACATGTTGGCATATAATATATTCAATATTTTATTAGATTTTATAATTGGCTATACCTATATGCATGTGGCCAATACAGATTCAGTTCTACATTATTACTTTCAAAGTTTGTTTGTTTAAGATATTGCTGGATAGTTTACTGTCATTCCCTGCTTCAGGATATTTAACATAAGGCATTTATGAAAAAAAGCAATGCTGGTCCTATGTACAGGATAAATGCATTGAAAGCAATGAGGAAATTCTGTAGTGACATTAAACTGCTAGCATTACACATAACAAAGGTCCGCAGATAAATAATCCCACTAAGACATGGTCATTAAGTAGACACTGATATGGTTTTAATGACATTGGAGTATTTGCAGTCTCTGATAAAAACTAAGGTTTCTTGTGAATGTATTGATCTGCTCCATAGTTAAGAGAAGTAAACAATAGGAACACTGAAGGAAATACCACATTGTTTGGAACCATGAGACCCTAGAGACAATGCAATTTTTTCTTACTCTTTAGGAAATGCACCTATTTTTCCCAAAGTGGTTTATTTTGATCTTTAGAAGAAGAAACTATATCTCATTTTTTTTCTCCAAAAAGCAGGTCCATAAAAAAATAAAATCATTTTTCTGCAAGCTTAACTACCTCCGGGCCGGCCAGGAGCTCTCTCGATCTGAGCGGGCGTCTCTAGACGGGCGTCTTCCCTGATGTCTCCATAAAGAGGACCTGTCACATATTTTGCTATCACATAGGGGGGTTTTATTAGCCCCCGTATGTGATAGCGATAAAGTTTAGTGGAAAAAAAAAAATTAAAGTCCTCCCCCAAAAAAATTTTAAGTTACACATAAAAAAGAATTAAAGTATAAAATTCATTTCAGTACAGCGTTGCATGACGGAATAAACGTCAGTCAAAGTATCGCAGCGCTGAATACTGAAAAATGGCCTGGCCAGGAAGGGGGTCTAAACACCTGGTCTTGAAGTGGTTAACATCAAAGCATCTTCAGGATTTACCTGATGAACATCATCCTGCAGTACAGCTGTTGTTGCTTCTTACAGTGACTTTGAGGTTGAGTTACAGCAGCTCTCATATGCGATTTATTTAGTTCCCGAATTTGAATGTAATTCGTACGAATTCTCATTAGTTTGTACATTCAGATGCATTCGAATTTCCGAATGACAAAAATTATTAAAATTTCGGGTGGATCCAAATGTACAAATTAACCAAAATCCTTCCGAATTTCAATTTGGATTTTTGTTTCTGTGGACTGTAAAAATAAAATGTAATTTTTTTTCTTTTCTCTGTCACTTTGCTGCGACGAATATTCATTCACAATTAACAAATATTCATCCGAGTCCTGAACCAAATAGACTTTAGGACCCGAATCCCGAAAAAAAAAAAATGAAAAATACGAAACAAAAGGAATTTTTTGCACGCTTGCATGTTCTGGGTAACAAGTATTTAACCCTTTCACCACGTCGGTGTACATCGCCAACATCGGGGATGTTTAAACAGACTCCCGGCAGCATTCTGTTTAAACTTGTAAAGCCGACGGTCGGCTTTACAATAGAAGTGATTCTGGCGACTCAGTAACCTCCGTACGTTGATCCCCTCCCCGTTCTATGGGACCGGAAGCGATGTAGATTGCAACACTTCCGGTCCCATAGCTGTCAGTGCGGGGCTCCTAAAGCCCAGCTATAAGCTATTGAAGTGCGATCTGCACTTCAATAGCTTATTTGGAGTGTAAAGGTGACACTGGGGGTCTTTTGGACCCCCAGCATCACCTTAAAGAGTACCTGTCACCACCATCTTCTATCACATGGGGGGCTCGTAAGCCCCCTATGTGATAGCAATCAAAGTAAAGTTAAAAAAACCAACAGTTTTTAAAATTAAAATGAAATAAAATAAATGTAAAAATAATTTTAAAAAAATGTTCATGTCCCCCGCCCCGTGAGCATGCGCGTCACCACGTAAACACGCATTAGGTGCGTCTACGTATGAAAACGACGAACACGCTATACATGTTGGGTATCACCGCGCACGCTGGAGTGATAGCAATAATTCCAGGGCCAGTATTTTTGGGTATCTCTAAATTGATGACCTGTGGGGGCTTTTAAAGCGTCGTCCATGGACTTTTTGGGGAACTGAGGTTTGTCGCCGTTTCACGGACGGACACAATTTTTAACCTGGGCATGTTGGGTATCTATTTACTCGTTGTAACCTCATCTTTTATAAAAGTGAATATTTTATTGTGTTCTGGGGCATTTAACTCTAAATTTTGGGGTTTGATAAGGAGTTGCGCTAATATCGTGCAACATAAAAATTTGCAACTGCCACCATTTTATTCTATAGGGTCTTGGCTTTCAGAAAATATATAATGTTTTGGAGTTGTATGTCATTTTCAGGCCTAAAATGTGGAATATAACATGGGTGCAAAAAATTAAAAAAAGGCCTCAGTCATGAAGGAGTTAAGAGAGAAAAGCAGAGGGGCCAGAAGAAAGTATGGGATGGATCCTTGGAAAGTGCAGGAGGGGCAACCAGAGAGCACAGAGAAGAGTGATGGTGTTATAGGATAAATTAATTCACATGATGGAATATCCTCTTACAGTCCAGACAGTCAACAGGATTAGGAATACCCACTGTTTTTTTTAATCAGCACAAATTCAGTGTTTCCAAACACCAAGTTACTTATAAACTAGTGATTTGGGATATGCTGTGTTCTCTATTCACATATTACAGCAAAACCCTGTCGTTTTTGGCATTGATTCTGATGGATGTATTAAATCTATCAATAGACATCCTCAGAAGATAGGTAAAACTAAGAGACATTCTCTGATATACTCCTGATAGCATTATTTGTATCAAAAACAATATCTGCTCATTCTGTGAATGTGTTAAATACTCAAATGCAGAGTCATAGTTACATAGTTAGTCAGGTTGAAAAAAGACACATGTCCATCAAGTTCAACCTCTAGAGATATAAAAAAAAAAGCCTAAAGTCACATCTGTTTATCTCTGCACATACCCGGGCAATCTGTATTGATGTATTTTCTAGAAAGTCATATAGACTGGCAACTAACAGTTCCTAAGCTTATTTCTACCTGTCACCTTTAGTAGACAGGCACTACAAGGTTTCTGTACACGCCCTTAGTTGTGTTCAAAGCTTTACCTGTGTGTCTTGAGCACAGGCACAGCTAACAAGCAAACTAAAGCTTGAGATAGGAGATCTGGTATTTTCACCTAGCATCTCACTATGCAATGCTGGTACCCCCTCAACATGCCGCTTAGGTATGTACACTTATATGTACTTATATTATGTGATGGTGAAGGGGTAACGGTTGACAATAACATAAGCAGCAGGCATGTTTTCTTTAGGTTCAATGGGCAAGAAAGCAATATTAAAAAAAATTGTTATGGTACAATTCTTTTTTCACATGTCTGCAGTTTTGTTAAGCTAATGAAACCTTCTTTTATACACTTACCGCAAACTGCTTTTAGTAACTCTTTTATATAAACCTACTTTAATTATGGAAATTAGGTCTTCAAATAGAAGAACTGATTACAAACAACCAAGCTGTTGCATTAAATAATACATTTTACTAAGAAAAGCTTACCATCTTGCTGTCCATGAAGATTTTGAGGACTCTGCATCCTTTCTTCAAGGTTGGAGCTGAGGTCAGAGTTCACAGCTGACATCCTGGTGGAGTCGCTCATGTCAAATTCATCGCTTTCTATAGAGCTTTCATCCTGGTGGTAGAGTTTATATTGTAACATGCCAGAACACAAACAATGAAGGTGCTTACAAAATGTAGATGTAGAATGTAGAGTTCCAGAACAAGGTTACTGTGAAAATGCCAATCAGCATAAACATTTTTAAACATTTTTATGTAGGAGTTGAGAGAGGTATCTGATGTATTTGTTTTACCTTTTATAAAAGTTCACAATTTTATTATAGTTTACTCCAAAACACTTCCTATATCAAAAGAGCAATTAGCTATTTATGAAATAGACCAAGCATCTAAACACATAGACCACATATAGAATAGCTGTTTGTGCTTGGTCTATATAATAAAGGTTAATTGTTTGTTTTTCATATAGGCACAGTGAGAGTCATCATTGTGGTTTTTAGTGGTTTTTTTAATTAGAGGTGCACCAAAATGGAAAACCGAAAGGAAACCAAAAATAAAAAAGATTGTCAGGCCGAAACCGATACCGAAAATGTTCATGTTAATGTTTTCAAATTTTTTTATATTTTATTTTTTATAAACTTTTACATTTTTTTATATTTATTAATTTTGTATTAAATATTTTTTACTTTACTTTTAGGGGCTTTGGTGAAATATTAGGGGTCTAAACAGACCCCTGATATTTCCCTTTTAAAATAGAAAAAGAGATTGAGGACACAAAGTCCTCTATCTCTTTTTCTGTATCCCCAGTTACAAATGAATAGGAATCCTCTATACTGAGTGTTCCTGTTCATTCATAACATGAGAACATGGTATGTTTATTATAACTACAACTATGAATGAACAGGAGGTGATGTAGATCACTCCTATTCATTCATAATTGAGGATATAGTACACATACCATGTCCTCAATTATCTACAAACACTCAGTGATCACTGAGTGTTTGCTCTCGCTCTCCTCTCTGGCACGCTGTCACAGGAGGCTGATCGAGCAGTGTAGGGAGGAGAGCTCAGCCTCCTGTGACAGCTCGGCCTGTCTCCACCCACACATCGTTCTGCCGGACTGTGATAAGAGGCTGAGCGGTGTGGGAGAGCACCGGCCACTCACAGCGCACTCCTCCCGCAGCGCTCGGCCGGCTGTCACAGTTTCTCTCCTCCCTGCTGGGACACAGAGAAGCGCCAGGCGGGGAGGAGAGAATAGGATGGATGCACCGCTGTATCGGCAGGAAAATGGCACTTTCGGCATTATGCCCAAAGTGCCATTTTCGACCGATATGTTTCGGTGGCCGATATATCGGTGCATCCCTAGTTTTTATTTCACATAGGAGTTTAAGGTTTTGGGTATTGACAAAAACATAGATGGGCAGTATTTTAGTAACTTACTCTGTTTATGGAGATTTACAATAAAATGTTGACATTTTATAAAAGATATATAAGAAGAAAGTGATGTACAAGCAGTTCTTCTGTTTCCTTTAGTTTTTGATATACAGTATATGGTCATGGAGCGAGTACCCACCAACATTTGTGATGAGTGTCTATCCAATATGAAGTGAAATAACTCCATTGCTTATTTGTTTTATATTAACAGGGTTATTCACAAAAGGGTGAAGGGTTTGGAGAAGGCAGGAGAAGTGAACAATCTAGGACAAAATAGCAGATTAGGAAAAATAATCCGAAACATGGTTGACTTAAAATATCTAATCATGTGATGGGGATTTTAAAAAATAGCTTTTTCTGCAAATGACAGGATCGTTGGATGGTTGATATCAAGACAAGTCATTGAACTACACTTCACACTCCATCAGGGCCTTAAAGTGAAAGACCACTTGTACATGACCCAGTCTTTACAAGCCTTATGTTCAGTCTAAACATCATGTGTGAACACTGGGCTGCTTCATTAAAATAAAAGCAGTACAAAGCTCACATGAGCAAAAAAAGCTTTTTACGGCTTGCAGACAATTTTCAAGCACATGAATCCTGACGCTTTTGGGTCATGTCTAGTTGGGTTGAAGAGTTATGACAATTTCAGTGTGTACAAAGGCACTGGGGTAATTTACTAAAGAAAAATAGACTGTTAACTTAGCAAAGTAGTTTTCACTTAGCTTAGTGAACGTGGTGAAAATTCACTATGCAAATAATATCTAATCAAGTACAAGGAAAATAACAAAAACGTATTTTTACTTGCACGTGATTGGATGATAGAAGTCAGCAGAGCATCACCACATTCACTAAGCTAAGGGAAAATTCCTTTAGTTAATCAACCCTATTGGTAATGGTCATGGACTATCTTCATCTTCTGTCTTTAATTTCTATCAGTGAAAGAAAACACAATTCTGAGAGAATGACGAGCAGTTAGATCACACATTGGATTTATAAATCATGCAGTGAACTTGGCTTCAGTCCTGAACTGATGTCTTTCACAGCTTTATCAATGTTACTTTACAGCTCAGTCTATTTTCTCTGTTGCTTTTTCCTATCAATGCTGAGATCGGCGTAGTTCCACTGCTGGCAAGCTATATCATGAGATATGAGTGTGCACATATATGTCAATTTTAAAAAAGGATGATGATGATTTCCTGTTTCCTGACTGCTGTTTCATGTCTCTGGGTACACTGATATTTCAATATAAGTAAGGGTCTGATAAATGAGGTGAAAAAAACGACTTGAATTTCCAGCACACTCAAGGTAAAAAAAAAAGAAGAGTAGAATGTCTTATCGCAATAGGTGGGTTCTGATACTCGTGTAACAAGGCCCCTCTGGGATCAGCTAAAGATGATATGAATCTTAATGACTGATGACTATGTATATCTTAGCTTTTCTGTATGTCATATAAGAAAATGAATAATTACTATGTATAGCCTCTCCTTTTAATCTCATAGGAAGACTGGTGCCAGTTTTTTTTGAGTTGTTTAACCAAACAAATACATAAATTACCCAGCATGTGTAAAAATGCAGCACATTGGTGGAGAGCAGCATATGCATAGTGGCTAGGTACTGCACATCCATTGTTGTTGGTACTGATAGATGACTGGTGTTCAGCAAGCCTCTCAGTTCAGGGAGTCCTCACTCAGTCTGATCCACACTGACACCTTGACAGTCCAGATATAAGTGTGCCATGTCTTTTCATTCACCACTTTACTTAATGCACTAACAGTCAATACAGTAGGTTTTCCAAGTTTAGACTCCAATAACAATCAACAAATGCCTTGGACAGCTGTTCACACCAGAGGCCGGAAACTGGAAAAATGAAACTTGAAACCAATGCTGCCATCAAAGCAGACATCGCTTTAAAGGGAATCTATATTCTCTAAAACGTATTTCTATTGGAAAATAATCTGCATAATGTAAAACCCATCTCAGCAGCAAGGGTTCTTTTAAAAACCTTTCAGTTCATCATTATCTATGTACATGGTTGCAGCTATACTTACTGCTTTATATTTACATATATGCATATATTCAATTAGGCGACAAGATAGGGAGCCATTCTTTCCATCTGTATAACTCTCAGTCGGTACAATTGTTGGTTAATTGTTAATGATTTTATTAGTGATACTGCACCACTAAAAATTTGATCTTGCACTGAAATAGTGTTAGCTTGCGTCAGGTGAAAATTGTGAAGTTCAATGAATTGTCTGATCAGAAGAGCAGAAAATGGGTCCACTTGGTGCAGAGATAAAATACAGGTTCATGAAAAAAACAAAAAACTGATTCATGAGAAATAATGGTGTTTAATAGTCAATTCATATTGAATGAAAAAAGAATGATTCCACACCTATGTGATATTTATAGGCTTTCTACCAGATAATCCTTTATTATGCCCTCTAGCATTTTACAAACTACCGATGTTAGACTGACTGGCCTATAGTTCCCAGGTTGGCACCTTGCCCCCTTTTTGAATATTGGCATATTTGAATATTGAATATCTTTGCTGCTCATTAGCAGAGGAAGGCAACAAACATTTTATTCTTCACTAAAAAATTATAGTGGTTGCATGTCCGCAGTCTAAACTGACCATAGATATGAGATGACAGTTGCTTAATCTTTTCAGGTTGATTCTGGTGATTTTTTAATGTCTGCAGCAGATGCCCACAATCTAACTACTTTCATGAAAAAGATTCAAACAGACCAATTCCAGAATCTTGCCCAATCACCGGTATCTTCTAGTCAATGCTCCTTGCCTCCCTCCCCTCGCTCCTAACATAAATATGTTCGGCCTGAGGTTAGCCTGGGAGCACATCTGACCACCTGGAATCCACCACTGAGATGAAAGGTAGAAGACCTTTCTATAGAAATTTGACATTTTCCAGCATGCATGCACAGAAGAAGTAGAGTCCAGCCGGAAAACTTTTGAAGCAGCAGCTAAGAGAAGGCGTTGGAGAAGAGGGGGGGCTTTATAACTTGACTGTAAAGAAATACATATAACCTTAAAATAGGTCTTCTGGGAAAGTTAAACTGACATTAAACTCAGGTGTTAAACCTTAAAAATGCATTCAAGTACCTGAAATGTTAACAAAAATGTATCTTATTTGTGTATCAATCGGCTGTAGATCCTCAGATCATGGTCCCTGTGTGTATTGTAAAGTAGCCACCGCTCCAAGCCAATCTCAATACAAATTAGTAAACTAAATATGAGATTTTAGTCCATCAGGGGAGCGAGCTCAGATCGAAGGACCAGACAGACAGAAGGACCAAGGGAAACAAAAGTAGCCACCCTCCAAAAGGAAGGATAGTGTCAACTTAAATTCAGAGATGGTTTCAGGACCTACAGCTGAGTGATAAGGAAATATGATAAATTTTTGTTTATAATTAAGGTATTTAAATGCATTTTTAAGGTTTAACTCCTGAGTATAGTGTCACTTTAAGCTGTTTCCCCTTAAAGAGACCAAAATGAAAGCAAAGTGGTGAGGCATAATTTCTGACTGAAATCACAGAAATGCCTCTATAATTCAAATTAAACCAACTACTGTACATAGGGGTTTTGTGAGTGTTTTGCTTTGGACTCTATAAGATGTAAAGCTTATCTCAAGGACGGGCCCAAATGTAATGCTTGGCAAAACTTTAATTTCTATTTTGTTGTCTGTTCTTGCAGTAAAGTTCAAGGAAACTGACCCCAGTAGCATTTAAAGTACTTTACTTGGGAAAAATGCTGCGTGTACAAACTTAGTTACAGGAAAAGCAAAATAAAACAAAACATGCATACAGGCTGCTACAAACAAACATACATATACATGCACCCACTACACTATCCTTTCTAGTACATGTAATGGTTTCTAAGAGAGGAAACACCAACATACTTAGAGGGTTATTCACAAAGCTGCCGAAGGCAGCCGTGCGAATAACCGACCCGAAGTGAAGGGAGCGAAACGCTCTTCGGCTATTCACTTCAGGCTTGTACAGCTGATTTCAGCCGTACATCAGCTTGCTTCGGCTGGGTTCGGGTCGGCCGAGCATGCTCAGCATGTTTGGCCGACCCGAAGTGCAGAAGGAGTTCGACTCAGCCAATCCAACATCTGGATCAGCTGAGCCGAACCTCCGGCAGGCTACTCGCTGCTGTTCAGCCTATTCTCATAGGGGCCAAACAGCAGTGAGTAAATAGCCGAATGCCGCTTGGTACCGCAGTGGTACCGGGCAAAATAGAAAAACTGTAAAAAAAAGTAGAAAAAAGAAAGTAGAAAACGATTGGGCGGAGCTAGCAGTGACAGCTAGCTCCGCCAACTGTTTCCTATTGGCCTGGACCTGCTGTCATTACAATGAGACAATTACAATGAGCTCAGTGGAGGCGGCAGTGATATCACCGCCGGCTCTGCTGAGCTCTCATTGTAATGACAGTTCAGCGGCCCCTGGTTACCTAGTAACCAGGGGATGCTGAACTGTCATGAGAGCTCAGCGGGGCCGGCGGTGATATCACTGCTGGCTGCGCTGAGCTCTCATTCTAATGTGATATCAAGGTCGGCCCCGCTGAGCTCTCATGACACTTCAGCGTCCCCTGGTTACTCAGTGACCAGGGGACGCTGAACTGTCATTACACACTGAGAACTCGGCGGAGCCGCATTGATATCACGGTGGCTCCGCTAAATTCTCATTGTAGTGACAGATCAGCGTCCCCTGGTTAGCTACGGCTGATCCTTCGGCAAGCTTTGTGAATAACCCCCTTAGCTTCCAGAGAATGCAATCAGAAGCCATTTTCCTGCGAATGCTTAATTGCCAAGAAGTCCTGTGCTTTACAGAATTTACGGAATCTGCAGTTGAAAGCTAAGTATTTTAGTGTTTCGTCTCTTAGAAACCATTACATGTACTAGAAAGGATAGTGTAGTCGGTGCATGTATGTTTGTTTGTAGCAGCCTGTATGTAGGTTTTGTTTTATTTTGCTTTTCTTGTAACCAAGTTTGTACATGCCGCATTTTTGCCAAGTAAAGCACTTTAAATGCTACTGGGGTCAGTTTCCTTCAGCTTTACTGCAGAACTAGACAACAAATAGAAATAAAGTTTTGCCTAGCTTTACATTTGGGCTCTTCCTTGGGATAAACTTTACATCTGCTGGTGATGTGTACACCTGGTGACGAGGGAGCATGAAGCCGGCTTCCTGGCTAATTAGGAAGCTGGGCAGCGAGTCATTACACGCTGCCCGGCTTCCTTAATGGGACTTCCAGTATCAGTATTCAGTATTGGCGAGTACCGAAAAAATAAATATCAGTACTCGATACTGAGATACTGGTATTGGTGCATCCTTAGTAGCTTACTTAAATATCTATTTTATTTGTAGTTCATGCTGAACAAGATGGCAGCATATGTCTTTCACTACATATCTACCTATATAGAAATATGCACACTATATGGTTTGTGGAAACCTGATCATCACACCGACATGAGCTTGTTAAACAACCTATTCCAAAACCATGGACATCAATATGAATTTATCTCTATCTCTCGGTTTGAGCCTATAACAACCTCCACCGTCAGAAAAGGCTTTCCACATGATTTCTGGTGTTTTTGTAGGAATTGTGCCTGTTCAGCAATAAGAGCATTTTATAAGAGGTCAGGTATTGATGGCAGGTGAAAAGAGTGGCTCTGTGCCAGTTGCTTGAGTTCTTCATGCCAAACTTGTCTTCTCATGTCTTTATGGACCTGCCTTTTTACACAGGAATACAATCATGCTGGAACTAAGGGGGTCAGTTTGGTGGTCTTTCCTAAGCTGCTGCAACAAAGTTGGAATCACACAATTGTCTAAAATGTCTTTGGACTGTGTGCTGCAGCATTAACAGTACCCTTCACTGGAAACACCTGAACTCAATCTGAAGGATTTCATACATCTTGGTAAGTAACATTTAAAACCTTTTTTTTTCATTCATAAAGGTTCCAAATTTTATTCTAGTTTTTATTTTAATTCTAGTGCTTCATTTGATAGTAAATGAAATGCAGGCTACCCCTGCTTACCATGATTCCTGACAACTGTCTTGTTTCTTTAGGGACATCCTATTGCCTGTTCTTGCTTGACTTCCTGTGCATGCACACAGCCCAGTTTGCATGGTAAAATGTTTGCCCGCAAATTATATCAGCAGATATATATACATGACTTGGCGTCAGATGCGAATGCAGGCACTAGGTCAAGTGAATTTCTTTCACATGGAAACATTTTTACTTTTTTGCTTTTCTGTGAACAGCCCAGTCCATGGGCACCTTACTAATGTTAGGTTTAAATTGATTCTGTCGATGCCATTTTAATTTTGCAAACATTGGTACTTTCTCTTTAGTAAATCAGGTAAATTGTGTGCTATAGCTAGATTCTGTGCAGATCCCACAGATCCAAATCTTGAACCCAGCTTCCTTTTACACTACAGAACAATAACTTTATGGAGCATTATTTACTTATTTAAATAGGAAACTGCTTCCACCACAATGAAACACAAAAACGCAAAAACAGATAAGCTGCTATCTATTTGATATATTTACTCACTGTTGTGTTTGCCTACAGCTCTCCTTTAACATTAATTTTGTCATTTAAGGTCTAAAACAATAAAGTTGTGCAATGTTATATGTGAACTATCCAGCAGACTATTTTTTTTTCTTTACATTTACATTTTTATTTACAATGTGAATTCGTAATTTCTCATTGTTATTGTACATTTTTCATGTTTGACAACTTGTAAAACCCAATAAAAGCTTTTTGAAAAAAAATTAATACAAATTAAGCGGTCACTAATGTTACATTGGTAAATGTATTTAATGAATGGCCTAGATGTAACCCAGAAACTGTGCTCTGAAATGTTACAATAGCCTTTTCCCACAACCCACAAAGCATGCATTACCTCATCTTGTTGTGAATTTAAGAGCTGAAGTTTCATGTGCTTCATGTAAGCCATGGTTATTGGCATGTTGTAGTCGATCATACTTGTCACCAGTGTTGGAGGCTTCCCATTATCTGTAAAGGAAATAGAAATTACATTAATTTATCACTTTCTGGTAATGTAAGTCTGCTTGATAGATAGGACAAATTACTGATTTGCGCAGAGCATGATTTAAAGTTTATCTAAAGTGTATCTAAACCCAAAACCATTTCTAAGTTTTGGAAGGAGTGTGGAAGTGTTAGAATCTTTTCAGGTTTCCCCTTCTGTTATTAACAGAGCAGTTAGGACAAATTAGTTGCTTTTATTTTTTGCTTGATAACTTGAATGTGTGCTGGGGACTAGGGATGAGCTTAAGTTCAGTCCGAACTTGAGTTCATCAGAACCTGCAAAGAAGCTGTCAGTGCCGGACTGATCAGCTATGGCCAGTGCATTCCCTGGCCTGCAACTACACATAAACAAAGGGTGGGGGTAGAATGACACTGACCTAATAAAGCCATGTGACCATATAAGGTCAATGATGTCAATAGCATCCCTTTGTTTACATGCAACTGCTGGGCAGGGAATGCACTGGCTGCAGCTGATTGGGACAGCACTGACAGCTTCCTGACAGCCAAACCATCCCTACTGGAGACCTACATTGCACTGTTTTGTATATTGCCCTGACCATGTGCACCTTTCTTTTTTTACTAGTTTTAAACAGATCAATGCAGCAGCCATATTTGCTTTTTTGGATTCGATGCAGGCACACACTGTATGTTCTGCACAGGCAACGTCTAGATTTCTTGTGTGTGGCGGTACCTTTAAGAAAGAAATGGCTGCCTCCAGGTGAGCCCGCTCTGTGTTTGTGCATTTCTATATGTGTCCCATAGTCAGATAGTTTAGAATTAGGGACCACACTTATGATGTGGCAGTGTGGCTTCCACATGTCTGCAACAAAAACCTCTGAGTTGTTGGAACAGTTTAGTTAGTTTTTTGCTGGTCAGCTGGATAGTGTGCTGGCTAGCTCTTTGTAAGGTGTTCATTGCTGTATGCGACCCTCTCTGTTTGTCTGGGTGACCATTGTCTGATGTCATCAGAACAGAAATAGAGGGAGATTTTATTAATAAGGACACTTGTTTTGGGGACAAGTTTTAGAACCGCCCCTTGTATTGCTGTCTTCGCCCTTGTCAGGGAGCGTTTCCATCATTTCCCAACCTGCTCATAAGGAATGAGGAGTAAACGGAGTGATGCAGGGGTTGGAGATTTCAAGGAAGCATTGCTTTGGACATGCTCCAGGTTCTGCTGAAAATTTCCTTCTGGGTGGGCATGACCTAGTTTTGCATTGCTTTAGGTGATTGTTCAAGGGGGAGGGATGAGGTAAGCTGTCACCAGCTACAGTGTTATTTATTGACTTACATGCCAATTGCACTTCAACAGCGCTAACAGCCAACCATCTATTTTTTGGCATCCTGTACTAAGCTCATGAACAGTGGTCCCTATATTGAATAAGCACATACATAACTGTTATGTTGGTAAATAGTCTTCATTGTAATGTGTTGTAAAGACATCTCATATGGATGGCATGTGCTTGCTGGACAAGTTAGACCTCTCAACCTGTAAAGCATTTGGGTCACTTTCAATCATTGACCATTGCCCTCACAGTACCTTTGTGATCAGCTCCATCCGGATTTAAGTGCATTCGTTTCTGACACTCTGAGCAGCTCATTAGGAATCTTGTCACTGCTTCTCTGGGAAGGAAGGCATATGTCTCTGATATCTAAAACAAACAGAAAAAAAGCATTCACTATGTGAGAATACAAGCAATCTTTGTCATATGTAAGAGTGAAGCTAACTTTACAACTGTTAGAGAAAAATTATTTATTATGCTAACATTTACCATACAATTGCATACACATGAAACTGTATGTCTACCTGTCAGCCCTGCATTAATGCTCCTTGCTGTACTACAGAAAACCTTCCTGTTATTTATGAAGAGGAGACGTGGGAAAAGTTATCTGTGGTCCAACAGAGGAGAACACTGCTTGTTGTCAGGAATCTTCCTGTGTGACATATCAGGCACTAGACCGACCCAACAGATCCTGTGTTTTTTCAGAACCTGAAAGAGACCCTGTGACTTCCTGCAAAAGTAGAGGGATTCTTCTCATGTCTCTGGCAGCCTGTGTCTCCTACCTTTCCTGTATTGCAGCCTCTTTAAAGGGTATCTATGGTCAGAAACTAAAAATAAATATGTATTTCTATATATAATTTCCATAAGTTCTATCCCACTAATAATAACTACTACAATCTAGAAGTTTCTAGAAGTTTGTAAACTTACTTATCGAAGATGCCCATAGGATGTACTTCCTCAATGCAGTGACACAATTTTCACTTAGCCCTGTGAATTTGCACTTTCTAGGGTCGTAACTCTCACAAAGCCTGCCTTTCGAATTACAATTCAACATCTGAACAATGTAACATTACCATTGCTAGCTGAAAGCAATTCATAATGGGATATGTAGTCTTGAGATTACATCACATCGAGAAGCAGGCAAAGAGATGCAAAGGACACTGGGAATCCAGAAAGGTATTGAAAGCGTTAAAGTGACATTAAAGTTAAGGCAGCACTCACGTAAGCTTTGATTGCATTATAAAAAACAACTATAATATGTATTTCTAATACAATGCTGATGATATAACAGAATAGTATATGCTGGGACTTTATAGCTCCTTTAATTGCCTTCTACATTAGACAGGAGTTTTGAATGTCTGTGTCCCTCACCACATGCTATGATTCCTTCCTTAGGACCCCTACACCACTGCTACGTCCTGGAAGCATCAAATGTCGAAAACGATATAGGAGTCTGCAGCCCTGGAACAGAGATGAGGTAGGAGACATGAGCTGCCAGAGAGGTGACTATAATCCCTCTTCTCTTGCTGGGGAGTGTCGGTTTAATTCATTTAGAGACCTGCCAGAATCCATTTATTATGATTGATTGTAAAATGGCTGAAGAGAGAGAGGAGCCTGATCTGCCTGAAGATTTCAGAAATATCCTGTGACCTTTTTCTTAGGACTGACGAATGTGGAGAGAATCTGTCATGCTGCAGGCTCTTCTCAGTCAGTCCCACAGGAAAACCGCCTGGGCAGCAGCTGCTGACTTGCTAATAGCTCAACAGACAGTGGCACCCTGTTTGTATTTCCGTGAGAGCTGCATACGCAAACCTCTATTGAAGGATTGAGTAGGATGAACTATATTTCTGAAAATGCTAGTTATCTGGCTCTCATGCAGAGGCAGTAACTTCACTGTTTTCTGAGTCACTAACCCAGAAAAACCATGCAGATCAAGAGTTCTGACTTAACCTGTACTTTTCTTGCTGCATGTTTATAAAAAAAAAAATAAAGACAGAGAGTAACTTGCATTTTCAGGATGTCAGGAAAGGCAGCCTTCATAGTTCTCACAGCACAGCAGGGGTGGGCAACTCCGGCTGTCCAGCTGTGCTTTAACTACAAATCCCATCAGTCTTGCAACTCATCATGGGACCTTGAAGGTCCACAAGAGGCGGGGGGAAAAAGGGAAGCATCAAAACGCGGCAAAAAAAACACATCAGAGCGTTTGCAGAAATGCATCCTGATTTGGTCTGGAGATGGTGTCAACAAGCTCTTAGGGCATGCCAACTATCAAGGTTGCCAGTGTGCTTATTTAAGCTATCAAATAAACTTTCAAGCTCTCAAGTGGCTTGTTTCACAGCTGATCACATGTGTATCACCATGGAAACTGCAATCCAAATAAAGGCTATGCTGACACCTTCCTTGGCTGTAAGGGATAGAGGTTTGTAGTTCTGCTCTGAGACCTAAAGGTTTTCTCCCTGTTTAGTTGGAACAGTGCTCCAATTCTGCTTAGAGTGCCAGTACAACCTGCTTGGTGCTTTCCCAGGTAAAGTATAGGGCACATTTAATCCCTGGAACTCATACTTAACAACCAGTGAAGCCGACAGAGTAGAAGCCTGATGGGGATGCCGAAGGACTAGTTCCCCTTCAGGTCCAATTGCTACTGAATGACAGCAGGTGGGTGGATTTCATAGCCAATAGCAAGCTGTCTTTATCCAAGTGAAATTCCTCCCTGACCTTTCCAAATATTGACAGTATGAAGAAATAAGTACAAGGTATCATCGAAGTAAAATGTATACAAACAATGGCATTAATAAAAAAATAAATAAAAGCAGATTTTAAGTGAAATATGTGTTTACAGCTGGAACATTGTTCTGCACAATACTGTACACAAATATTTTACATGTTAAATCATCCAGCATATATATATAAAATTACGTATTCATTTAAGTACCTTTAAAAGATACCACAAAAAAAGTAGTGAAATATAGTTCTTTTTTTAAAAGCTTGGCTTGAATGAGCCACACTTAACCTTGAATAAGAGCAACACTAGCTGCTGTCAGGAAGAAATCCAAAGTGATTTTTGCGAACATGGCGGATGTCAGAACATTAGATTATGGTCACATGCCAATTGTGTAAGCAGGCATCCTGCGAGGCTTTTGTCTAAGCAGCATTACCAGAGCTTTGTTTCCTACCTTGACCTGATTGCATCCTAAAGAAAACAAATACTTTGTGCAGCTTTCAGCGCTTCCAGCAAGTTTGCTGTTAAAACTCGGAATTTATATTCAAAATTATTTATGACTTTTAACTCCAACCACTTACTGGAATCCGCAGTTATACCTACTTACTTATGGAATCAATATGAAATATTTGTATGCCCAGATCAAGTAATACCTACTTAAGTGTGTATTACTAAGCAGATTGCAGTGGTACTAACATACTGTGCAAACCCAACAGGAAAAATGGTGGCATCATCCATAGCAGGCATTCACTTATTCACTATATTTTCTAATCTGCATTGAAAAAAGGCTGCTAGAGTATTATTGGCTGTAATGGGTAAATATGGCCATATAATACCACATATACAGTGGCGTAACTACTGCCATAGCGACCCTGGGAATCAGGAGGCTGGTGCCCGGCTGTGGAGAAGGGGCCCGGGCCCTGGTGGCAGTGGAGGAGGAGGCCAGGGTCTGGCGGCGGCAGCTGTGGCGGTGGAGCAGTAAGCCAGGGCCGGGCAGTGGCAGCTGCTGCAGCAGCGGAGGAGGCCAGGGCCTGGCAGCGGCAGCAGTGAAGGAGAAGGCCGGGGCCCAGCAGTGCCAGTAGAGGAGGAGGCCGGGGCCTGGCAGCGAGCAACTCGGGGCTTTCAGGTAAGAAGCATGCAGGGAAAGGGACTCTCAACCAGCCCACCTGAGACCCTGCAGAACCCACCATAGAGAGTCTAGGCTTTCAGGTGGGCTCTGCAGGGTCACTCTCAGGTGGGCTGTGTGGGGTTTCACATGGGCTCTGTAGGGTCTCTGGTATGTGATGGGTCTCGGGTGGGCTGTGCAAGGTCTCAGGTGGGCTGTGCGGGGGTCTATGGTTGGCTCGGCAGCAGTGAGCAGCGGAGTGATCTGTTCTTCAGCTCTGACGTCAGAGCCAGCAGGAGCAGAGCCGCAGAGATGGAGCCGGCGCAGACATGAGAATGTGTTCTGGAGGTAGGTAATTGCAAACAAATTAGGAATGTTCACTGATAACTGAGTATTATGTGATGGATTAAAAAAGACGCTATAACAAGCAATCCGAAGCACAAAATACTGCTGTTTCAGCAACACCCATTAGGGTTTTCCTTTCCTCCAATAAATATGAGGCCAATCATAAATAGACAAGTAAGTCTAGCTACACATCTGCAGATCATATTTAGACCATTGGGCAGGTTTGCTGGCCAGTTGTTAACCCAGGTACTGTCCATATCATATCTCCAGCCAGATTCATCAAATAATAACTATGGCATATGGAGCTGTATTATCACATGGGCATATTTTATTTGTGCAAATATGTTATTGCTATGCTTTATGCTGTGTATTTGTTTGAAATCATTTACCCTGTCTGTATTGTGCTGGAAGGTTTCATTATCGCTTGTGAAATAGAGAAGCAGGACTGCCTGTCCTAACAAAGGGTTAAAGCCCTGAAATTGACTGACATTGTATGTTAATAAAGGGGTCTACCAGTCTGTTCTTAGTCTTTCTATTAGGACAGTGAGAGAGGAGCTTACAAAGGCCTGCAACTCAAACACATCTAAAAGGTAATGTGTGCTGACGATGCACATTACTCAGGGGGTGGGGGGTGGTGTTGGCGGTCAGGGGGCGGAGTACAGTACTTGTGTCTGGCATCCTGCCCAAATCATTGACATCACTGGTTGCCAGGAACTAGGCAGGATGCCAGCCGGAGTGTCCTGCTCAGCTCCTTACCAACTAGTGATGAGCTGAGCAGGACGCCGGCCAAAGTGTCACAGGTTGCTAAAAGCTCTTAGCAACCTGGGGTGCTCTGGCTGGAAAGGAGACGGCAGGAGAAGGGTAGTCTTTTTTTAACTGAAAATAGGCTATAAAATGTATAAAACTAATCAACCAATGTCGGAGCAGATACCGACCTCTCTGTTTTGTAAAGTGACCACACTGTGCTCTGATTCATGTAGCAGTGTATAATACTTGGCGTGAAATTCCTTGCAGCATGCAGCAGAGGTGCAGCTGTGAGAAAGTTAACAAGGGGCAGCAATTTCACAGCTATTTCAGCACATTTGCACAGGCAGATGGAAATTATACCTTGCCGTGCAGGTCAGCAGCTTTATCTAACTCAGGCTTTCAATGAATTGCTTTCCAATTTTGCTTCCTATTCTTCTTTTTGAAGGGAGGATA